GAAAGGAGGTTTGTTGACTGACATTGAATCAAGACCATGATCGGAGTTTGAAGTGGAATCCATTGATGACTTGAATATCGATATAACTCTTCCCGAATCGACTCAAGAGGCGATTAAACCTTCAAATGAGTGAGGCTCTGATGCCAATTATTTTAAGAAGGAATGGTGACCATTTGCTTCAGAACTCTGTAGTTAAGCGTGCTTGAACCAGAGTAATTTAAGGATGGGTGACCCAGTGGGAAGTTGTTCAAAAATTGAATGACTCGATCCTATCACAATTCCTGAAGAATTATTAGTAACTTAATCCAATGAGGGTAAAACAAAGATTTGTAGTATTTAGGATTTATATTGAATTATCAATATTTTTAGTCGAATAAAAATTAAATAGATCTCAACATCACGATACTCACCAATCATTCGGATTGCTATCCTTCAGAATATTCACTTCTTAATTCTAATTGTACTAGTTGAAATGGTCACCATCAAAACCACCACTGAATGAATCTTAATGGGACGAACATGTATTTTGATGATATTATTTATTTATGTATTGTAACGGTATCAAAAATGATTGATGTGCTTGGGTCATGCTCCAAAACCTTTAAGAACAGTACAACACTTAAGTATATTGGTGTTTCTAGAGTTTATCCAATGGCATCCATTTATTTCTAGGTTATAAGGGTATTTAAGTCATTTAAGTACTCAAGGTTATTATAGTCATTTTAGAGTTTAAGGGTATTTTGGCCATTTAAGGTTTAAGGGCATCTTGTTCATTTCAATATTTGAGGATATTCAATCATTATAAACTATTTAATAAGGTGTCATACATTTAATAATTTAATATTCAAATGATCATTCAAAAATCAAGAGATCAATGTATTTTGAATTTCCAAAGGTAGAAAGTTATATTTGGGGTTTTTCAAATAGATTAATAATTTAATTGGTGATTTATAGGTTCAAATGGATCAAAATATAAGTTCTCAGGTCGCTTTCACTATCACAGTCATCCCTAGACCCTTTTTACACATTAGGGGTATTTTCATCATTTCATTCAATTATGTCAATTGTGTTACTTCTAGTAAATTAGTCTTTAGATATTTATTCAGAAATTATAATATCCACACATGTTGCGATCTCAAAGCTTATGAATCTATTTTCAGGATTTTCTAATAAGATAAAGAATTCAATCAGATAATCCGTATTTTTATCAAGTAAATAATGAATTCCTTGGTTATTTCCACTATCAGGGGAGATCTGAGTTGATTTTTTATCTCAATGGTATTTTCGTAATTACTTATCCAAGTATTTTCAAAAATTTAACCTTTAATGAAAATAAACAAAATTGATAGATTTTGAGATTAATTCTTTATCACTTAATCACCAACCTTGAAATGATTCCTCATTGATCTTTCAGTTTCTAAACAATTCAATCGAGTCTTAATCAATTTAATATCATTTTACCATATTCAGTACGAATTTAAGAATATTCATCGGGATTTACTAGACCAAACATTTTAAATCATGTATCAATCAATTACCAACATGTATCGTAAAGCATGCACATGGAAGTAGAGTATTACCTCAATTTTTGAGTCACATTGATAGACCATTTGAATTCTATTTGGTCACTCTCAAACATGAATTCAACATTCCATAATATCTCAAATACATGACAAAACAAATTGCATCAGAAATGGGATTTAAATGCGAAAATCGGATTGAATTAGAAGATAAAATGCTGAAAATATCTTATCGGGTTTGAATTAGGTGAAACGGACATCGGATTCGAACTCAAGATATCGAAAAACATATAATACAAATTTTTGAAAAATTTAACTTTTTGTTCAAAGTCAATGGTTAACGATCTAGATCGGTTCAGTTTGATTTGATTCGGTCTGAGTTAACTCAGTCCAGTTTTTATATGATTCTCGGTCGGTAGAGAAGCTCATGTTCTAAGGCGACGCGTGTGACATCAAAATGGCCAACAATCATCATCCAATTACTCTAGGTTCATTTAGACAACACAATAATCCATAACCAACTCGAATATGAGCTAAAACCATGATGAATCTGAACATAAAAAGGTTAAAACTTACTCGTCAGTAGACGATGGAGGAAATGGCGAAGCATCAACGATGATAGACCAACGTGGTCGGGTTATGATTGGAACAAAGCAAAGAACTCAACGGGAAGGATGGTGTAGTTAACGGACCTCGAAAACAATAAGAAATCAATAAAAATCATGGTGACGATTTGTTTCTTCCGAATGTTCAAAGATCGGTTCACGACATTTGGCAGCGAGTCTCGATTAGATCTCGACAGGGTTTTGGTCAAACAACAATGTCAAACGCGTTAGTAGGGGCAATGTACGACACCGTTGAAGATTAGACTACGGCAAGGGACGGGGCGACGATGAATTATTTAAGTTTTGGGGATTTTGATTATTAGGGTTTATTTGAATTCTGATTTAGGTAAAAATGAATTTTAGGGATTAAAAATCCTAACTTGAAGCTTAAAAATATTTTTGTTTAAAATAATACACAAACAACACCATATCTTAGTTGCTAAGGCATGGACACTCATTTCTTATTGTAGTATATGGGTTCAAGAACTCATAGTTGCATTCTCGCCTAATTCCCTTTTTTTATTTGGAAACAGAGGATGGTTAAATTTAGGGATGATTCCCTAAACTTTCAAGGATTTAAAATTGACCTAAAGTTTTTAGCATCTCATAAATTGATCCCTGAAAATTAATACTAAATAAATTAATTTAAGCTCAAGAATTTTCGAGGTGTGACATGATATCTTGTAATTCATCAGGGATATCACAATGTTTTTTTAGTGATGACCACATTTTTAATATAAAAATTTAATTAATTGTATAGTGAAAATTATTTATAAATAAATTAAGTATTGAAATTACCTTCGTAAAAAAAGAAAGACAAATGTCTCGTTCACGATCAGACATAAAAAAACATGCAATGCCATGCCCAAGATTGCAGAAGAAGAGGACAGTCGCCAATGCCATTTTTTATTTATTTCGTTACTCGTCACATTTCTCTAAAGAGAAACACTAAAACTATTAATCCCCAATTGAACGTAAATACTTCTTCAAAGGTAACAAGATGATACAACCACATGACATGCACTTAGGCCTATAAACAAAACGAACGAACACGAATGGGGGTATATTCATGTTCGTTCGTTTAACTTTAACAAAAAAATAAAAAATTGAACATAAACGAACACAAAATTTCTTGTTTGTGTTCATTCGTTAAGGAATGTACCTTCTTCATGTTTGTTCATTTAAATGATAAACGAACACAAATGAACGAACATAAATGAATGTAAACGAACATAAATGGACAAAATAAACGAGCGTAAATGAACATAAACGAACAAACCTAAACAAACACAATAAATGAACATAAACAAACTTGCACAAACATAACAAATGAACATAATCAAACACAATAAATGAACGTAAACAACAAAAAAATAACCACATAAAATTTATTAATCATTAATATAACCCACAACTTCAAAGTTAAAATTATTTCAGTTTTAAATGGGCATAGTTTATATTTTCTTTAATTGATTTAAGTTTAAAATTATTTTGATTTTAAAATATTAATGATTGGATCTTATTATTTTAAATGGGTATGGAGATTGGTCTAAATATAAACGAAATGACATAAATGAACATACATGGATATAAATGAACAAACATAAACGAACATACATACATGAACATATATGAACGAACATAAACGAACAAAAATGAATGAACATAAACGAATGGATTACCAATTGTTCATGAACGTAAATGAACGAACTACACTTTTATTCGTGTTCGCTCATTTAACTAAAAGAACATAAAAAATTTCATGTTTGTTTGCTTAATAAATAAATGAGCATAAACAAAATTTCCTTCAAACGATTCACTGAACGTTCGGTTCGTTTACAGGCCTACATACTATTGGTTGCAAGATTTGTCGAGTATCAAGATCTCTAAATAATTCGTAAAATATATCCCCTAGCAAATGCTTTCACATCCTCTTTATAATAATTTTCATCGAACTCTCGAAAATTGGTTTAAAGCCACGTTAAAGAGATTCAACCAGCACTAAATGAATTCGGGGACTTTCTTAGATACTAGAGGAACAAACCTTTCCAATCACCACCCACCACACTAGTAAGAACACGACCATCTATCGGGAGTCCCAACTATATTAAAACGTCCTCCAGAGTAATGGTGCATTCCTCACATGAAAATTGAAATATGTGTGTCTCTAACCTCCACCTCTTTATTAATGCAAAAATGAGGGTGCGTTCAAATTTACAGCCTCCAATTATTTTTGATACGTACCCAAATCCAACATCAATTACATACCTCCAAATATGAGTCAAAGTGACTATCTTAGTGTTAGGAAATAAACACTTCCAATATATGATCATTTTTCTAATTGATAACAATTTAATAAATTAAAATTTAAAATATTCAATAAAACTTAAAAAATGAAATAAAAATAATTAAATATTTTTACCATATTCTCTATATAAGACAAAATGTAACTTTCATCCTTTCGTAGCACGCCTTCCATTTTTTACTGCATAATTTTAAAAAATAGTAACTAAAATTAAGTAAAACAATTAAATATATTTATTGAAAAAAACTTATCCATTGAATCTTGAATTGAACGTTATGAACCCAGTAAAAAAGAAATTAGAGAGAAAGTATATTATTTTTGTTTGGTGTTGTAACACCCTAAACCTAAATGGGCCTAAAGTGTCACATTGGCTACCGAGGCAACCCTGATTCTCAAAATCTATTTATCTATTTTCTTAAAACATATTATATGGTATCATAGATAAAACATAAATACTTTATAAAAATCATTTTACAAACCGGAGCTCCGTGACACATAATTTAAAATCAAATAATAAAACTCTGAGTTTAATAAACTGAATACATAAATAAATAACTATGAATACATATGCTCACTAAGATATGGTACGATACCCTGAAAGAGATGTTGGAAGTCCTACTGTGACGGTGCTCCTCGAACTGCTCATGCTATTAACCTGCCAATGGAAAACATCCGAAGACTAAGGTTACAAAGCCCAGCAGTATAATTGCTAATCAAGAGTAGCATAAGAATTCATAAACCCAAGCATGTTGAGGATCTGGTACTAAGCAGTATGTACATGCATGATCTAGTCATGTGCTACCTACTTAAGGCTTAGTTGTTATATTTCTGAAGTACAGGTCCCTAACCCTAATATCTGTATTTTTTATACATTATCTAAAAGTTATGTTTTACCTGAATGTGATATCGAATCTACTGTGCATTGTCTGAATGTAGGACTAACTCTGGTATGCATTATCTGAATGCAAGATTAACTCTGGTATGCATTATCTGAATGCATCACTAGTTCTAGTATGCATATATTAATATATGCATATAATACAACAAACAATAATTTGTGGCTGGCATCATGGTGCGACTGAGGGATTTTGCATCTCAGAGCTCATGTACCCCTTTAGCACTCTAGAAGCACCATCAGGTACTCCTTGGTGAGATTTGAAATTCTACATCGAAAACATACACCCACATACTTACTTCGTCGAGTCTTGGGGCATCTGGCGCCCAATCAGCAATGAAGTGTTGAAGCACTGACTTGGATCCACTGACTGGCAAACAAGATAATCGCCCTATTACTAGAGTAACTTGGGTGTCCTGGTTGTTTCCCGAGTGTCACACAAAGCCTAGTTTTATGAAATTCCTATATGTTACTATTTTAGTCGTTACTATTACTTATTTTGTTTTTGATTTTGTTTCTATTACTGAGTTATTACTGATTATCTATACTGATCTGGTTATACACTAATAGAGGATACTATAGTCATTCTCTGACTCTAGGGAAGTCTCTACACGATTCGAGACTTCAAGACGATTATTTTTTTTACTACTTACTAGTTAGGGTTTTGATTGGCCCGATATCTGACTCGAGTTTGTTTCTGGGTAGCGAATGCTCTAATCGCTAATCCTACGCTTCCCCTTAATTCACACTTGAGTTAAAGGAATATATGAACGTCCAACATTCTCGGTCACTCTTGTGGTATACAACAATATTGTCTCACAATTTGATTACCTATTCGTACCTCTTGTCGATACATATTGCGCATTGGTCCTTCAACCATATATGTCTGATACGTGATCACTGAAGATGCTTGGATGCGTTATACTTATTGTGGTTACTCTGGCTGTAACCCACTCTCACGAGTGTCTCTAGGCCTCTTTGGCCATTTACGTCCCTCACAGACTAAGTCTTATACATTTTGAGTGTGTAGAATCAATACTCTAGTTGTAGTATCGATACTCTTGGGTAAGTTTCGATACTCTTGGAAAATATCGATACTAAAATGGATTCTGTTACTGAAAGTATCGATACTCTTGGAAAGTATCGATACTCTGAGGTAAAGTATCGATACTCTTGAAATGTATTGATACTCTTGGCCTGAAATCCCTAATTTTTTCGCCAATTCACCCAATATTGATATTGTTCATCCTAATATCGATACTCTTGCCTAGAAATGGGTATTTGAGGCTCGGGAAACACTTGAAATTCACCCCAAATGATTTTGTTTTAAGTTCTTTCCCATAAATTGAATTTAAAGTTCTTGTAAATTATTTAGGGTTCTTAGGTGTCTTAAAACATATTTTTAACACCTAAAACGTGATTTAACTAAGAAGTAAAAAATAAACCCTAAAATACTCAACTACTCAAATCTTAACAAAAACTTGTAATTTATGGAATCTAAATACTCCAAAGGATTAGAAATACTCTACCTTGATGATTGAATCTTGAAATTGAGCTCCTTTAGCTAGAAATCATCCGCCCACAAAGACTTGGATGATAAAACCCTCAACTTCCTATTGCAAACAAATAACCCATTGCTTGAATGGTTAAATCCATGTTGCTTGAGGGGTTAAGAACGAAAATAAAAATTGAATGGGGCTCAAGAGCTTACCTTTGCTATGAAATTTGGAGAGGAGGGAGGAAGAGAAAATGAGAAGATAGGAAAAAAAAAAGAGAAAATTGAGATGGAAAAAATATTCATCTTTCCAAAATGGGAAAATTACACTAAAGGTCCTTCCTCATATTTATGAAATTCACAAATCTCCTTCTTATGCTTAATTGGGCTCAAGTTTAATCCAATTAAGCACAACAACTTGAATTATAAATTCTACATGGTTCATTTACCTCTCGGATAAATCTAAAACTATTAGCCTGAAATTTGGGGTGTTACATATTTGATTTGTAAGAGGGGGAGGGAGCTTATATAGAGGTTAAGAGAGAGGGAAAAGCAGGGAACATGGGCATGAAAAAACCCAACAAAAGCGCGTTTGATAAGAAGTGCCTTTGCCAGGTAAGCATATAACGCGTCCACATGAAGTGTTTCCTAAGTGGCAGACCGACAGACCGACGCACCATGTATAAAGCGTCTTTGTTGAGTGGGATTAAAATGTCGACAAAGCAATTTCTATAGAACACATCTTATTACTTTGTTGTATGAAGGGTTGATATTTTAATAAATATTGGCGAAAGAATGTTGTTTCAATACATAATGCTTTTTTGAATGATTTTTAAGTAAAATTGTCGAATTCGTATAAATAATGTAAAATAATAGAATTTGTCACGAATCACATCTTCTTTTATGTGCATTTACCATTTTTATTATTCTTAATTGAAAACATAATTCAACGTTTAAACATATAAATCTGATATTATGCGAACATGAATCAACATAAATGTAATAAAAGTTATATATATATTATCTGAATCGAAATGTTAAAATTTTAGATGGGATTACATCATTTCTAAATATATTATATTTTATTATTCAAAATATTAAAATTGTTAAAATTTTAGATTATGATTTTATATATAATGATCTTTGGCTAACTCATAATTATAGTGCCCATTTCTCGAAAATTCCTACATGTGAACCAGGGATATTGATGAACATCTGTAAATCCTGAGTGCACTTTCTTTTCCTTTAGAAGATGCATTTCCTTGGATGTGGTTAACTTGTTGAGGTAATGAATAAGGTGACAATGAATGATTAAGACAATATTGCCAATGCAGCCAAAATACTTGACTTGAGACAATCCTATTGCTGTCTTTAATAACATTAGAAATAACGATAATAGCTTATTTTATTTATTTAAATAAAAGAATTAGTTAGGAATCCCTTTGTTAGGGAGGTTACTAAATAAAGGTGGGTATCCAAAAAAACTAAATTGCCCATTGGAATGTTGGTTCACAATTGGTTCACAGTTTTAACCTAACACACTAAAACATAGTTTTTTTTCAGCCCAAAAACAAATTTTTGTTAAATATGACTGTCAGCCTTTTAAATTGGGATTTACAAGATATTTTTTATAGTGCATAGAATTCGTTATCTTGAGAGATGACGAATTCTAATAAAAAAATATTTTTTAAGTTTATTTTTTGATAAAAATTATATTTTATTAAAACTCGTCATTTTGAAGTGATGAATTTAAATAAAAAAATATTATTTAGATAAACGTGTCATTTCGACATGATGAATTCTTTAAATATTTTAACAAATATAATTGATCCCTAATTAAAAGTTTAAAATTCTTTTTTTACGAATTTTGTTTTCTGGCTGTCGTATTGGGGCAAAAAAAGCCCTACTAAAATTAGAGCTAGTGGTGAAGAAGAGTTGCTCGAAGAAGATGAACAACTAAACAAAAAAAAAAAGTTTGAAACATGAATCTAAAATGTGTCTCTACACACTTAAAACCTTTATATATAATAATAATAATACAAATCTCGATTATATTTAAAATTGAGTCGGATTATTTTTTTCATATGAGAAAACTTTTTTAATATTATTTTTTATTCAGATTTCAGACATAATAATTTATTTAAGGAGCGTCAAATTTGTAATCACCATACTGATAAATTAAAAAATAATTTTGTTAAAAGGTAAAGAAGTAATATAATGTAAAATGACGGTGTTTGATTCTATTTTAACATATTTATGGGAATTAAAGTAAAATTTCAAAAGTTTTGGATTTGATGTGAAAGCAATTTACCGTAGTTTGATATCAATCTTCGTTGGTAAACAGTAAGTGGGTAACGAAAGTGCAGTTTCCACTGTAATTTTCGTTAGAAGCAAATCTAAAATGAGCAGCAAATTTGGACTGGTGAGGACAGCAAGGGTAAGGGGACAAAATGAACTCGTGAAAATGACTTTTATTCATAAATAAATATTAAACCATTTATTTTATAAATGTATTTGGAATCTGCATGCATGGATAATATTAAGAGAAAATAACCTCAGTGACCAAAAATACCTTATAATATACGATTTTAATTAACTTTTTTTGGATTTACCAAAATGACCAACTAAATCGCAATGCGATCGATAATTCGCAACGTGATCTCCGGTATCGCAAATCAGTTTCCAGATTCGCAACGCGATTCTGACTATCGCATTGCGATTTCCCAAATTCGCGTTGCGATTTTCTTAATTCGCAATGCGAATACATAAATCGCAACGCGAATTTGGAAAATCGTAATGCGATTACGTAAATCGCAATGCGAATACGTAAATCGCAATGCGAATCTGTAAATCGCAACGAGATTCTGACTATCGCAATACTGAATTTCAAATTCGCAACTCGATTTCTGAATTCGCAACAGGTTTTAGTTTCGCAACACAAATATTTTGGGTATATAACTACGCAGCAGCAGCAACTCATAACCTAAATCCCTAAATCACAACTCATTTCATCTCCATCTATCACTCTCTCCGGCGACATCCGTTCCTATATCCAACGACATCCTTCCCCATCCGGCAACAGGTTTTAGTTTCGCAGCTCGTTTGTTTAGTAAATTAATTTACAATAATGAAATCATCTAATGTTGATCATGTTTGGATAGATTTGTGTTTTGGAGGGTCATGGGAGAATATTCATGGTGTTTTACAATATATGCCTTTACCCATGAATCTTCAACTAAAACTGTCATTAAAAAAGTTAACTTATGAAACTCTAATATTTGTGGATTTAGGCTATCTTATAAGAGAAATGGTAAAGTTTATTTGTTAACCGACAATGAAGATGTTGAACGATTCATTGCTTACATTAGTGTTTCAAGTGATGATGTTACATTGTATGTTGTTGAACCTAGAAGTAGTGAAGTTGGGTCAGTAGCGGGTAGTAATCAACTAAGTTTTTCAACCCCAGTTTATGGTGCTCAAAATTTAATGGTTCCACCACAATTTCATCACCAAGCAAATATTGTTTCATCACATTTCCAATACCAAACACAATCTCAAAACCCACAACCTTTCCCTAATCCAAATCCCAATCAACTTTCAGCACCAAATTCCGGTTTTCATATTGACCAGTTAGACGATGATGAGCCAACAGAAAAAATTGTGAGTACTAGTCAGTATTCGAAATTTGATCTTGGTCAATACCCGGACTTTGATCTTGGTCAATACTCGGATTTTGATGATTTTTCAGAAGAAGAAACAGACCCTGGGTGTAATGATTTTGATATTGGTCAATACCCGAATTTTGATGATAAAACAGCCGTTGCCGAGGAATATGTTGTTGATGATAATGAGGAGGAAGTTACGACTATAAATGAACATGTTGAACATCCATTCTGTAATTCATATAACACTGAAGAAGAAAAAGAAGAAGAAGAAATCCCCAAAGAAAAGTCCCCGAAGAAAATGCCACGGGAGTATAACTGGAATATGCCAGAATTACTTCAGATACCGGAAGAAGAGTTGGTAAAGATAGCAGTTGATTGTCACACAAAAATTATTCGTATAAAGAAAGATGATTGTTTTGATACAAAGGAAGACTTGAAGATAGCTTTGTATACGAAATGTGTGGAAGATAGCTATCAACTAAAAGTTAACAAATCAAGCAAACATCGTTTCAAAACAAGGTGTATGATTGACAAAAACTGTACGTGGCGTATGATTGCAAAGAGGATAAAAGATTGCGAAATGTTTCAAGTTAAGACTTTTATTGATAAACATACATGTTCAAGAACCCAAGTTTTTCCTCACCATAGACAGGCAAACAAAAAGGTGTTTGGTGGTTTTCTGGCTGAGTTAATGTTTTTGAATGGCAGGTTATATCGGGGACATGAAATTATGACTGACATGAATGCTCGGTTCAAGATTAGTATCTCATATTCTCAAGCTTGGAGAGCCAAATGTTATGCCTTGGAATTGTTGAGGGGGTCGCCAGAAGCATCGTTTGCCCAACTGCCGGCTTATTGTCACAATTTAAAGCTGAAAAATCCTGGGTCAGTAACTCATATCAAAACAGATAGAGATGGACGCTTTGAGTTGCTATTTATCGCCATTGATGCTGCGGTTAGTAAATCAATATAATTTTGTTGACTCATTTTTGTTAGTTACATGCATTTCACATTTAAATGATTATATTTCTTGTGTATATACTTTTGTAGATTCGTTCGTTTATTAATTGCATGCGCCCAATTATTATAGTTGATGGAGCACATTTAAAAGGTCGATACCTTGGAGTAAACTTATTAGCAATAGCCATGGATGCTAACAATGGGATACTGCCAATAGCTTATGGGGTTGGCAAATCTGAAACCTCTGATTTATGGACATGGTTTATGGGGCATCTTAGAGATTGCATAGGTCCTATTAGCAATCTGACAATCATATCCGATAGGGCAAACTCAATTGACAACGCTCATGGACTTTGTGGTGTTCATTTGTATAGAAATCTAAAATCAAGGTCTGCTGGTATAAAAAATCACAAATGGACATACTGGAAGGCTGTAAAAGCTTATCGGGAAGTGGATTTTAATAAGCATATAAACTGTTTAAGACGTGTTTTGCCTCAGTGTGCTCAAACACTAGAAGATGTCGGGTTTGAAAGATGGTCAAGAGTACATCAACTTGGAGCAAGATATGGTTTCATGACGTCTAATAGTGCAGAATCAATCAACGCTCTAAGTCGTCATTCCCAGAAATTACCCATTATTATGTTAATGGAGTTTTTTCAAGCCTCTATTCAACAGT